TAGTTTCTTTTTTGTATAAATTGATTTAACTGCATTGTTGATGAAATATCTGGCTATGCTAATTTTAACAAATTCCAATATATCATTCATTATTTTCTACAAACTCCATAAAGGAAGATTATCTATAAAATCTTATTCTCCTATGTGATAAATCGTAAAGTTTGATTTTTCTTTATATATTAAGAAAAATCATCGTTAAAAAAGTTTTTTCATGAGACTTGAACGTCAAAAAAGTTAACGATTCACCAGATGGTAAGTGGTAACCGTCGCCTACATACATGAATAGGACCACGGTTATTACCTCGTCAAGTAACGCCCGTGATATTCCTAATGCGTTGTCATTGCTTAGAACTAAGATGTAATTCGTAATTAACGTGCCATTTCTCACCATTCAAATTGAAACATAGCTTAAAAAGCGTGGTGATACAGAAGTAGTTCACTTTGAACAAAGTCATCTTTGTTCAAAGTTTACCCCTATATAATACACTAGTTAACTCACGCAGCTTCGTCTGCATGACATAAGAGACTAGAGGGGGTTTAAATTTTTGTTTTTCGTTTTTCATTGCTGCTCCGCTCCTATGTGCTGTAGCGTGACGCTATATAACCTTATAAGCCTTTCTCGATAACTTGGCTAACATTAAAAGCGTTTGTAAATTCGAACCAGTGGCTCCTGTGATAAGTGTAAGTTTAACTTAATAAGGAAACTCTTTCCTTTTGTAATATTTATATATGGTATGTATATATATTACATATACACACATATACATATGTAAATTTATGGTTGTTGTAGTATTTAGTTCCTGTAAAGGATATCTGGTTTTGCGGTTTTAATGAATGGTTATTATAAACTTATAATAATAATTTGGTTAGACGGTTTTGTCATTGCGTCCCACTTCTGTCAACACAATGTGTAATCTAAGCCTCTTATAATTTGTTGTGAATTTATTTATATTATATACATAACAGGTCAGTGAATGACAATTGAATTTATTGTTGATTCATTTATACTGAATGAATCATTTTATTATTTTTAATATGTGTGATTGGAAACAAATTCTTCAGAAAATTATTCTAGTAGTATTTGTTCTCCTTTAGATTACTTTGCACAAAGTAATCAGCATATGTATCTATTTCTCACCTTTTATTGCCCCTAAACTTTTAAATCTGTGTTTGAATCCTATGGCAGGGATATTACAGGGTATGAAAGCATGACAACTTAGTCCTCAAGAATGGCATCGCTTAAGGGTCATGTGATGACGTCATGTTCGTGCTGCTAATGGTCGATCCATGGAGGTATTCATATCGAGTTGACAAGTGCCCCTTTCCATTCGGTGGGCTGTTAATGACGTCAATTATGAATTACTTCCTGGGAGTAATTTAAATGGTTTGTTAAAAATAAAATGACTTTTGTCAAAATTAAGATTATAAGAAAAAATATAGGAAATAGTAGATGTAGGTAGGTCCTTTATAGTAATGTGTAGCAACAAACAACTTCCAATTTCGGACGGAACTCATATAAATAGCATTTCAATATAATCCTAAAGATGGCAGCGGGAGGTTAAGAGGGTGACGAGACAAAGGGCGCCATCCTCAGCCCCTCTTGTTTGTACGCTTAATGAAGTGGGCAGAGCGCCCTTGGCACATTAACATACAGTTACAGTGCTGGCCATAGACATAGACAAATATATACGATAGATGTAGTTTATAAAAACGCGCCATATTTTCACTAAATTGGTAATATAGCGATTTACTAAACTGTATTGCCAATATTTTAGCCTGTTTTCTACGTACGTAACTTATTTTAATCAAAGTATGCTATATCTAAAAATAAGCAGTGAGTTTATGTATATTAGTTGTGTAGTACCCATATTCTCCTCATATGCTTAATTTGTGACAATATAACCCTGTGTACAGTATGTTACAAAAATAAACCTTGTAATTATAAACTTTTATTTTAAATATCACAAATATCTTTACTGATTTAACATGTAGTTATTTCATTCATTACAATTCGTAATATTTTAATGCAAAAGTGTCTGTATTTCGGTTGGTTATCTTTTCACGGCTAAACCGCTTCAAAAATTTTTAAAGAAATTTGAACGTGTCGTGACGAAGTTGTAACGTGAAGGTAATATCACGAGGTGATGTAGGAGATCTTTTATTTTTAACATAAGGAGTTCCGAATCGTAAAATTACTTAGGACTAAACTGACACGCATAGTATATGCAGTTTTTTTTGTACTATATAATTGGAATGGCAAATGGTCCACGTGATGGTAAGCAGTAACCATCACCTATATCTCGTGACCACGCATCCGTTGTCCATCCGGAGGACTAAGACCTCTTATCCTGTAATTTCACACAGTTGTGACGTCTAATTGAATTTATGTCTATGGTAGTGGCCATCGGTAAAACGCTTTTTAACTCTCCTGACTCGACCCTTATGCTTAGAATGATAGCTTATCTGTATCTATATTTTATGCGTAATAAGGTATAAGTATCTGCTAAGTGGATAGCAGCACTTAAGTGTTTCATTGAGCTCGTGGTGCTAATTAATTAAGTTACAAGTTCAATAAAAACAGTTGTCTCAACGTGGTAAATAAACTACTGTTATATGAGTACGTTAAAAGAATATTTGACACTAACTGACCTGACAGACGTTATCCTGCTTTAACTATGAATACTAATATTGACTCTGTGTATTATGTATTGCATTGCAAACGTTAAAGAAACCGTAACGACTATAGTAACGCTGATATTCCGCGAATCATTATTATTTTTTTCTTTCATACATCTTCTGACAATAACAACCACAACAACAAAAATTAGTGAAATCGGTCAAGCCTCACGCGTGATGCAGTGACCAAGGAAAGTAGCGATCCATTTATATATATATCTTGTTTTAGATATATCGATAGATAATACGTATATTTGAATATTTACAAATCACACACAATTACACTTATATAAACATGGACAATACGCAAACAAATTTCAACATTACAATTACTTGTTAGAACGAATTTCTGTGCGAAAATGTTTTTTTATGTAACTGGCTGCTGGTAAACAAGTTGATGGCTCGTCTGATGAAAAGTGTCGACTATATATTTACTACGGACATCACGTTGTCATTGTGCGTCGCCATTTCTAATGTGTGTCATGAATATGTGTCCTGAAATTGCGCTGCAATATCTCACACTGGGGTGATGGGCATTGTGTAATGTGGACTGCTTGCTTGTTAGGTTGACCTCCAAGCCGCGCCGTACCCCCTAGAAACCATTGTGATAAATTCCTGATGAATTTACCACAGTGGACTAACTGACCTCATGCTCATCTTGTCGTCCTCCACTGATACCCCATAGCATCATTTCACTATCATCTTTTAAAATTAAACACAGCTTACAAACCTAGATTAATAGTAGAAATAAGAGTAGGTAAGGTAAGGAAGTACCCATACAGATGGAAGTAAGTGGAAATTATACCTTGAAATGTATTACCAATGCAATTTTATTGTATACTAGATGTGCCCGCGGTTTCACCCGCATTAAATTTCTGTAGCATAAGCTATATTACTGTTAAGTTTTTTCAAAATCCGTTCAGTAGTTTTTGCGTGAAAGAGTAATAAACGTCCATACTGACAAATTTTCGCATTTATAATATTAATATAAGATTTATAGGAATATTTATTTGCTTGATACAATGATAGAACAAAGGTAATGTTAATTAGTAAACTAACATATGTGTATAAATACAACAAGGCGGCCTTATTGTGGAAAGCAGAATTTTCAAGAAAACCTTGGAGCTTATAATTTATAATTTAAAGAAATTGTGGATGGTTATTTTGTGCTCCTTTGCCTGTACAAAGTAACCTTTTAATTTTATTCTAGCTCTGAGTTCGGATTACCTTGGAGTCTATTATTAATTTTGCCTACTCAATAAAGCTGCAAGTTGGTATCTTTTTATTTGGAAGTCTACATTACTTAATAATGGGACTCTGAAAATCTCCATTTACCCTTCAGCGGGTTCATTTCGATTATATTCCGGTCTCGCTTGAAGGGGTGACTTCTAAAGGACGTTGGGAATATTTGGGACTAGCGATGACGCGTTGATTTGCAACCTAACTTATGATTTGTTTTTAACGAGAATTTGTAAACTACGTAATTGGCTCTAAAGTTAATAAATTATTTTTGAAAATTTTTATATATGGTATGTAATAACTGTATCATAGCTTAAATTGTATGCTTTTTCTATATATTTAGAGCTACTTTAAAAAGTACATTTATCAAGTCAAATCAAAAATCGTTTATTCGTGTAGCATATTTTAGCCGCTTATGAATGTCAAGTTTTTTGGTTTAATATTTTTTTTGTATCCTCCAGTTTATTATTTATTAAATAATAATAATAATATATAAATGATAACAATTTGTTTCACGTGTCGGAATAAAATAATGTGAACAAATATATACAATTTGCGTCATTACTAATGATACAAACACCTAAGGCTCCTAGAAAACTTTTTTAACTATTACAGTATTATGTCACTATATTTCTTACAAACTGATCCGCTCAATTTCGTCTATGTCACATTTTTCCCGTTATTGCAATGTTTTTCATTGCTTCTCCGCTACTTTTGGTTGTAGCGTGATGTTATATAGTCTTTAACCGTCCTCCTTTTAGTGTAGTCACGTTATTATATTAGTATAGAGTATAGATAGGTTGAGAAATATAAATCAATATAAAATAGCTAATGCCAATCCCATAAAAAAAAGAGGACGAAACATTTTCGCAACTAAAATAGGACAAATATATCGTTTGTTTAAAAATTATTTTGCAAATAAATTTTTCATTTTATATTTAGACTTGAAAGCAGCTTTTTTTATTAACCGTTAAAAGATCTACATTTATTACAAATTTAATTTTACTTCTTAAATTTTAATATTAAAATTTTTTAGGATTACCTGTGAAAAGTATTAAGGAAAATAACAGTTGTTTTTTTTCTAGGTGTGCGCACTATCTGCACGAGAGCGGGTATCAGAATCGTTGGCTCTGACTTACGCAGAGGCGCCAGGCCGCCCCCTGCCTGATGTGATAGTGCAGCCAGGTCTCTCGTATGACGAGGTGTTGCACGACGACTTCAGGTTCGACCTCACCGCTCACGACGTTATGGTCTTCTTGCACATACAGAAAACAGGCGGCACCTCATTTGGGAAACACCTGGTCATGGATCTGGATTTGAAGGTTAGTTTTAATTGTGAAAAGTATAATATTTTTTTCTATAAAAACAGATTCAGTCATGACAAAGTTAATAATAATAGTAATTCTATTTTTCCCATTGTTTGCACATTTTACTAATATTATAAAAGTTTGAGCGTGTGGATGGATGGATGTATGTATGTTTGTTACTGTTTTACGCGGGTGAAACCGCGGTCACAATTATATATACGTTAATACGTTTTTCCCTGTTTATGTTGAAACCGGTATTTTAGGTTCCTGCCTATTTATGACACTATTATTGGAAATTTTGTGGACGATCTATGAAATATAAGTTAGTGCTAATGTATTTCGAATTTTTTCGTTATTTTTAATTCAAAAACATAACGAAAAAATTCGAAAATAAAATTAGTAAGATACAGAAATAGGTATAAATTTTAAAGACTGTAAAAATGCGAGCCAAAATCAGACGACAATGAATAGTCCATTTGGTTGGAATGGAAACAACTATATAGAATATATTCTAAAAGGTTTAACGTGTCTTTATATATAATATCTTAATACTCTAAGTGGTGAGGTGAGTGATTTTCAAGTAGTTAAATGCCCATCTGAGTTTGCAATCGATGTAATTCATTATACATGCACCGTTTCAAACACTTTAGACACCTTTGAAGCTGATACACGTACCCACTAGATTGATTGATTTCAGTACAAGGAGGAAAATCCGTAAAAATTTATTTGAAATAAAAAAAGTGGCAATATAATTATGGGGTCCTATACCAAAAAGGTTAAATATGAACTATTTAATACATTTTTTAACTGTCTTTGAAAAGGACTTGTTACTGAATTTACATGCTTTGTAATTTTGATTTGTCTACGTTTTATAATACCTATGATACTGTACTACTACTAGTATTTTGTAAAACAAAATAAATCAGCTCTAGATATAATTTATATATAACGGAATTTTATTATGTCGGTCTCAGTTCTGAGCTACAAATCTTCACTTTACTACATATTTTTTACAGAGTACAAATATATCCTCTTACCTATTTGTCTTCATCATAATAAAACCAGGCTACACCTATTTACTGCATATTCGACATACATATATCTTCGAGACTCCTCATCCTACGAAATGATATCAGAAGTTTCTACTACGAGGTTGTGTCTATTCAGTAGATACTTACATTGTATTCATTCCAAACGAACTATATTTAACGTTTAATGTCTCACTACTCTACTCTATTATAAACAATTTTGATTGAACTGATAATGGGAGTTTGTTTATAGATTGGATGAAAATCGTTCCATTCTGAACAGTCTTAGAACTAACATGCACATAAAATACAGGAGATTTTGACTAGGTCTCTTGTTGATAAATGGTAAAAAAAATATTTGTAATACTTAAACCGGCTTTCAGCTCGCTAAAATGTAAACAATAAATATATAAACGCTTCTCATTGTATATCATAGTATTATCTTATCATTTTTATATATTTCTTATCAGATTAATAGAATATAATTAAAGTTAAAAATAAACTTTTATTATTCTGAATATTGTCGCTGTGATAAAAATGATAAAGCAAAAAATTGTATATATTTACATTTTTATCTCTTTTCATAATAAGCATTAAATAATCTTTCATAACACAGCCTTTGAGGATATTGTGAAAGCTAGACATATCTATCTCTTCTGTCTCTATATTAATAATTTCGTCAAGGGCTACGGTAGACTCGAGCGAAACCTTATGTGAATAACAAAACATAAAAAAATATTGATTTCGAGTCGACAACATATATCCGCAAAATTCGGATTATGGAGTATTTCGTTAAATTCTAATGACACTGACAAACAAACCGCAGTCGCCATCTTTTCATTCCACTAACATTTTCTTCGGTCGTTAACGTTTCGCAAAAATATTGTTTTTAACACTATTTTATGATAAAAGAGTATGTGTTTTTTCTTTAAACCTGAAATTGGCCGATTGCGAGACAAATTTGGTAATTTTTTTTTATTAATTTGTTTACGTCTCTGGATACAAGTTCTTTTTAGCCCAACTTAAAGTTGTACAAAAAATAAAAATTATTTGCATAAAAACTTTTGCACATTTTATTTACTATATTTCTTAAACACAATGAACGAAGCTTTACAAATCTATGCCTTGCTTACTTTTAATATTCCATGAGAACCGATGACTACAGAAATATCTACCCACATTTCACCCGAGCGAAGCCGGGTTTTCATCTAGTATTCTTTAATAAATATACCAATTTATACACATATGTGTATAAATTGGTATATTTAATTTCTTTTATTAACACTACTGAGTAGCTTTACAGATTCTATATAATTTTATCGTATTTGTCATTCTAGCTGCTTCTCTATTTTACCAGCACTATTCTACTGGTAAATCATAAAGATATCATGTAAATAACATAAACAGATTTTTAAGCTATCAAAGATATCAGCTTTTTTTCAATGTAGAAATGTGATTGGGTTCCTTGATGAAACTATAAAATATTTTTAAAATACTATATAATATATTTTGTGTTTTTAATTTGACTTCAGTTTGAATACGTCGTACAGCATACTATAATCTGTTTTTTATTTCTTAAAGTAAACTGTGTATACACATAGTACAAATTCTTATATTAAATGTCAGACATATTCGATGTAGTATCAGATTATAGGTGTGTATGTCTAGTATTAACGTATACATATTTATACTATGTTATATTGTGCGGGGAACCCTAAAAGGCAAATATTCACAAAGGAATATTCAAGTAATCGACGTCCATAAGCGGTTCAAAATCTCCTATATGAATATTTGACTTTCATCAAATATTCATGTAGGAAATTTTGAACCGCTTATTGAAATCGATTTTTTTTATTGCTATCCGTACTAATATTTCGGCTAGTTATTTCACTTGAGAAGAACTGCCAAAAATTTCAACAGGTTATTTTTTCAAAATTTTTTCCTCACATGTACTATAATGTAATTCATTGTACCGGCTCATTTCATTGGCACCTCGCGTGTTATCCACGGAGCGAAGTGTCTTTTGTTTTCGCCTCTATACAGTCTGACATCAAAGGAAGCAAAAGACGAATCAGCCTCTATCAATTTTAAACGCGAAAATCTCCATGAAAAATCTCAGGGGACGTGGTAGACATATGAAGCAGGAGCCTAGAGAGAGGGCTATTAAAGAGAGCGCGCGTGCGGTGACTGCGCAGAATTGATGGAAAATGGTGGATACGTTCAAAGAAAATGTTGCGTCACGTTTCCGATCGTGACTGTATGCTTAAACTTTAAAAATCCCTGTTAGCTAAGATCTCTTATGAGGATTTAACACTTATACAATGATTTTTGCAACCGACATTAGAAATGAATTGGATCTTTAGTTATTTTTATTTGTTTTCTCTATGGCCTTAATGACTTAATTGTCATGAAATTTTCTTGTTTGTAATATTTGGGATGTTATTTTTATTCCGGTCTATAATAAAAAAAGAGCGGAATTGACGTTCACCTGACCGTCAATTCCGCTCTTTTTTTATTGAATGTAGTTTATTATTAATCGTGCTATATACTTTGTACTCGTACTCCAAAATGTGTATAATATATATGCATACGTAAAAAAATAGATGACTTGCTATTTTAATGCGCGATTTCAAAATGTTTGCTCGAGTATTATTGTTATCTTTATATATCTGTATATACATTGTTGTTTTATTTAATATTACAGACTATTCACATATTAATAGATGATATGCAAATATTTTTTTTGCGTTTGACGAAAATATTATTGTAATATTAATGCTTACATAGGGTAATCGTAGTGGCCAATATTTTTTTGTCACTACTTACCCACCCATAAGTCATTTAATGTGCAGACAAATAAAACCGATCGCTAACTACTGAAATAATGTCGGACGTTTAGTACAATACGGTACAAGGTACAAGGTACATGTAGGGTACAAGGTACAATTTTTTATTTAAAAAAATTGTAAATTGGAATTTGCACTCTAAAATTTTATTATAAGTCTAATTTTAAAAATTTTAAATATATGAGTTCATTCAGTATGTTATTAGATATCCGATTGATTGTTGTACACTTGTATGTTATCTTCAAGACTGATAAGAGCCTATTATGAAATTTTTATCATTCTACTTTTACAACATACCTAAAAGTTATGTGGACAATACTGTCCAGAAATGATTTATTTATGGGATAAGATTTTTTTTTTTATATTTCAATGTATTGAAGATTGTGGACTGAAGTACCAGCCACTTTTCCAGAGACTACAGCATGGAGTTCTAGAGACTTTAACATTTTTAAATAAGATAGCACGGACATGCAAGCACGTAACACCCCCTGGTGTTTTAAAATTCCATAGGCTAGGTAACTGTTTATCATCTGATGGGTCATAAGCTTGATTGTCACTATCGTAGTTTAAAAAACACTCCATTAACATAAAGAACGATAATGAAAATGTAATAAATAGTCAAAGAAAATTAGGCTAGACTTTGTAAAAATTAATTTGCGGGTTAGCTCTGCAGCTTTTCAAACTATATTTCGGTTTAAGTAAGAGATACGACAATAACATTACATGGTACAGAGACAAAACATGATGTGATACGCGTGATACATTTCATGATTATGGCCAGTGATTTTTACTATCTGTTATATTACACTATCAGGTAAGCCGTCACCTTATTTAATATAAAATTCATTATAAAAAAAATGACACAGAGAAAAGAATTTTCGTTATTTTAAATTCATCTCTATTTAAATAAGAGATTGGATTCTCTCAATTGTGACAATATTTATACGGAGTCAATACAAGAGTAAACTTTATCGGTTGCGAAAAGACTCATCGAAATCCGTTCAATTGTAGCAAAGATCACGTAACGTATACGAAAGAAAAAAAAACGAAGTCGAAGGGTAGTGTTCTGTAAAGTATATTGACAGTCGATTGTACATGTAATCCAATACATTTTCTTTTAGAGGGATCAATATGTTCTTAT